ATTCCACTGCATTCATAAAATCAAAAAAAGGCATCTGTAAAGAACGAGATTACAAGACAGACAAATGTTTTAACTCATATTTACATACCTACACAGAACTAGAATTGCAATGACTAGTCAGATGTTTGATTAGCTGATTAACAACTTGCTGTTTTTCTTAATATCCTAAAATTTTGAAGAGTCGGTCTGACAAAACACACACACACTGACAACTAAATGGTTAATCGAGAGAATAACTTGCTTAAACATAAGTCTCATATAAACAATTCATAAAGTAAAGCTGTAAAGAGTTGTCATTGTAGTGATTAGCAATCAGCTAATAAAAATAACTGATAATTTTAGCATCCAATTAATTATTTGACATTTTTTCAGGAACAATTCTAAATGTGTTGTAGTTAATAATAAGCAAATTATCAGATGGTTTCTTACTTGTCTCCTTTTCATATTAACTCGAGTGTCTGACCAATTCCACATCATCACCATTTCAAGCTATTTCATTATATAATCAACATGTCATATATGACAGTTTATACAAACCATCACACAATTATTCATTCAAATTAAAATTATCAGCACCAATTTGATAATCAATAGACTATTTAAACTTTTTTTCAAGCAGTGTCAAACATATGATTGAGCCAGTTGTAAAATGTGAAATTTTGTTGCATTTCTAGGTTTTGCATTATGATAAAGCTACAATGATTTTTCAAGTAAAAACGTAAGGCTGAAGATGTCACCTGGACTCTAGGAGACTGTGACAGACTGTTTTCTGATCTATTATAAACTAACTGGATTCCTTAGAATGAAGCAATATTAAAAATAATCATTAGTTACAGCCATATAATTCAGGAAATTAAATATTTTTAAGGGTCTGAAGTATTGGTCGTCCAAAACAAGACATTTAATGACGTCACCTCGTGCTTTGGGATACTGAGACAAGGGCATTGTTTTCTGATGTTTCATAAAATAAATTATTCATAGATTAACTTAACAGATATATAATAAGGGCATGTTTAACCATTGACAATTCATTAGCTGCAAGCATCTATAAATTTATTTATTAAACTGATTCACGGTTTACTAGGTAAAAATAACTACTACATTTTGTTTCGTTACTCATAATAAAAAAAATTGGCTGTATATGCTCATTTTTCCCTATTTCATAGTCATTTCAGTAATTTTGTCAAAGTAAGCCATTTTTTAGACATCGTTTACATTAGACTATCGCCTTTAGTTTGACACCACAAAAATACCAGTTCCATCTTCATAAAACAAATGTATGAGGAAAAAGTTTGCCAAAGTTTTGTAACTTAACATTACCCTAACTGAAAACAGTGTCCTACCTTGGGAAATTTTCCATCCATCGACCTAAATCTTCATTACACCGTCCTCAACTTTCAACAAAATCTCTGGTTTCACGGCGCAACTTTTGAAGGAACTCTTAGTCTAAGTAACTTAATTTACATTACTTAACCCAAATTTACATATAAAGTCTTCAAAACGATGATTATCAAGTAAAACTAAAAGCTAAATGTAACGTTCGGTGGTGAAGATATTTTAGCTAGCAGACGCAACCTTGTACGTTCCGGTACGTTGATTTTCAAAATAAAAGCCTTAACTTCATCGTTAAAGTTCAAGATTAAAATTATATTATTAATTACAGGGAGGAATTTCTTGGTTATTTAAACACACCGACAATAAATAAATAGGTAGGTAAATAAAATTTAAAAAAAGAGGAAGAGCAACTGCAACAGGCTGTTGCTAGGCCGTGCCTGTGTAAAATCTGTAGTCGGAGGGAACAACTGTGATCTATGACTTTAGTCCTGTAGGCCCCCCACTCAACAAGGAAGTGGCCTGTTACGTCAAAACTGTTCGATATTAACAAACACTGTTGTGAAAGGATCTATGGAGTAACGACGAAGTGAAATGCTTGCTTGAAATTTGGGCCAATGAAGACATACAAAGACACAAACTCTGAGATTTATGTTAGTATTTACATGCACCCAGTTGATGACGTGAGTGATTGCTGCTGCTGCTTCTCTGCAGATTGCAAACATGCACGCTGCCACCTGCTCTGTCAGACAGTGTACATGCGCGAGTGTGCTGGGGCAGCAGACGGTCATACCTAATGTGAAAACCCTTGTAAGAGCCAAGCTGGAAGTGGACTTCAGACTAAAACACTGCGACCTCAGAGTAACGCTGAGATAAAGCTTCCTACACTGGTTTTCAGCAGAACGACGACACCTGAGAGCGCGTGTCAGTCCTCTCAGCTGCAGTGTGGAATACTAGGTAATGGTCACATTCATAGTACAATTCAACATTTATGTGTATTGGTGAATAAGACCGAGGTTTTATTATTTTTTTTTTTGTTTCACTTCAGTTTCATTTGCATAGGGCCAGTTCACAACAACAGTCATCCCAGGGAACTTTACCTAGTCAGGTCTAAACCGTACAGTATTATGGGAATAATTAGCTGATTGCTAATGGATGTCAGTACTGTATTCTTCGTGTTGAATAAAGTTGAATAAAAATTTTAAAAAAGCCTGGCAACGGTTGCCACGTCTAAAATATTCAGATAATATAAACAAATAATTAGAATTATACAAATAAATAGAAAAGAATAAACAACTTACAATATATATTCTACCTCTGAATATTTTCTTCATTTATGATTGTCATTGCAATTTTCTCCAAAATGCAGGATGTTTTAAAGGTTTTCTTATTTTTCTTGACCGTCTTTAGTGAATTAGCCAAAATGTTTAATTCAGAGTAAAACAAATATTTGGTTTAGAAGACATCACTCTGTCTTTGTATATATCAAATTTCCCCATTAAACATAAAAGCTTAATTGCGTTATGCAGGTTTTTACTAAAATCAGTTTGTAGAAACGTATACAATAAATTTTTTTATAAGAAGTGAAAGGTAAAACATCTCATCAAGTATCCAATCAATCAAATAAATCAATTTTAATAGACAGGCAATAAAAAAGAAAACAGTCTGAGCTGCAGAAGTGAGGACTGTATTTCCATGTTGGAGGGATTCATTTCCCTAAACTGAAAATTAAATCCCCAGTCAATTCAGCCGGTTTAAGCTCAACTTAAAGCAGAAAATGTGTCCTGAAAATGTTAGAGCAGTGAAGCTGAATTACTGTGCTAATGTTCAGAATCTTTGAATGTCAGACATGAAGTCAAATAAATGATGAAATACACAGGAAAAAAAAATCATCCAAACAATCCAAGAGATGTACTGCAAGTAAGATGACAAAATCAGTGCTTTACAAAGACAGATACTTGATGCTGTTCCACTTTTTCTAAACAACAACCTGGAGGACAGTTATTAAAAGTGCCAGCACTAGCCCTACAACCTGAATCAGAATTTACAACAGTACACACAGTGGCGGTTTTTGGCATGGGCGCTCAGAGGGGGATCTCGCCCGGGGATTAATTCAATGTAGAAGCGCCACTGAGTACACAACAGTAGACAGCCCTAAAACTAGAGTAAAGAATGACTTCCAGTGGTATTCCTAAAAATATACATGCTCAGATCTGCATTCAGTTGCTGTGAAATTTAAAGCAACCCCACAACCTTGCACACAAGTTATGCTAACACAAATGACAACCTCAAAAATGACCATCAAATTGAATAAACACTTCAGGCAATCTGCTTTCCATCATACATAACATTTTATAAAAAATAACATTCAAGATGTATTGCATTAATTCAACTTAGAGAAATGTTGCATCTCACTGCTCAATATTTTTGAATTAAAGTTGAGATTAGTAACTGACCACAAGTACAAATTGCACCCTGTTTTCTGCTGCTGGAAACTGACTAATAGTGCAGTTCTAATGCACAGGTGAGCCTCCTCAGATGTAAAGCCATTTAGAAAGCATCTCAGAATTAGGATGGTTTCACATTAGGGCCCCGGGTGCGGATCAGAGTGCACTTGACCCCAAGGTCATTTTGATCAGTGTGAACACAAGTATACCCGAGTCGGGCACCGTGCCTTAGTTGGCTTTAAGAGGCGGTCTCGAGCATGATTCATGTGTACTCAAGTACAGTCTGTGGGAGGTGTGAATGCAGCTGACAGCTGTGCTCTAGCAAGGACAATAGGGCCGAGCTCCAAATGCAGCCATAGCCAATTGCTGCAACTACTGTGTGAGTGGGTGTGCCCGTAGCTACTGGTAGCTGTGAGAGGGCGCTAAATTTCAAATGTTGGTATGTGCATTGTGGCATGTACAAATTACAGACCTGTTCTTTCACTTAGCTTTGTATTAAGATAGTATATTTTATGAAGGTTAGACACGTTAACGTTTTCACGGCAATGTGCTGTACTTTGAGACAGAAGATCACACATTGCCTTTTGCGGTAAAATAATAATACTGCAGCAGGCATCTATAGCCTACATGCTTTTTATTGTCTGTCCTAATTATTAATTTTGGTTTGTGTGAAAATCAGCGCTTGAAGTGTTTAGGCTGAAAATATAATGGGCTGAATTCCCCCACAATATAAAGTAAAGGCTGCTGCGACAGCTTTAGTTGTACATGGTTTTCATTGCATATAAACACAATGGTGGCTTAGTATGTCATTGTGAGCATGTTAGCAAAAAATAAAATGAGAAAGGACATAGTAGAGTTCAGCTAGCTGGGACTCATCCATTTCTGTCCCTTGTGTCTTTATCTTTTCCATGTACAAGTATAAAGAGCAGGAAAAGATGTAGATTTATGAGAAATGAAACTCCATGAAGCCTGGAATTGCAAATGAATCTGAAAAAGCAAACATTGGCATTGAAGCATTTTATTAACTGCTCAAAGTGTTGCGTGTTTCTCTCTACTGCTGCCTATACTCACAAAACTACTGTGTGCCCGCTGCAGTACAGGACGTGCACGCTGACCACTGCATCTTTGCTTGTATTTTGCGTTGACATTCTGGATTAGAACAGTAAATCTTTTGTGTTTGTTTGTTTGTTATCATTTTCAATTAACCCAGTGGCAAATATTGGAGCTTGTTAAAACTCGAATGTGTGATTTTGCTGCGGCACGTCTAAGGACGCCTATGGGTGCCACGGGAATTTGCTTTTCAATAAGGTAACAGCTGATGAATTACTTAAAAAGGCACACGTAATGAACCAGAAACTGAAGAACAATACATTTTTTCGCCAAATTATTGTTGTTACATACAGGAATATGTCTCACTGGCTGGCTTTTAATATACACACTAACGTTGCATTCATGAACGAGACCTCGCAGATATGAACGAGCAGTTCCATGTCAAGAACGCGGTAAGCTCGCTCACAACGGCTCGGCTGGGCGAAGGGTATGAACGGAACGGCACAAATACGCATGCGCAATGGGAACAACGCGGAAGCGAACCCGGAAGAAAAACATTGTTGCCGAATGTGCTAGTCGAGCAGCTGTCATTGGGCAGAATATCCAGTATTTAGCTTTTTTTGTTTTTTTAAATACAGCTATGGGCGCATGGGGCAATAGACACAAATACAGAACATGGATTTCATCGACCGAGACCGCTACAAGAGCGTGATAAAAGAGGAGACCCAGGACCCGGATTTCATCGACCAGTGTCGCTACAAGAGCAGGATAAAGGATGAGAGCCAGGAACCGGATTTCATCGATCAGGACCGCTGTAAGAGCGGGATAAAGGAGGAGAACCAGGAAATGGATTTCATCGATCAGGACCGCTATAAGAGCGGGATAAAGGAGGAGAACCCGGAAATGGATTTCATCGATCAGGACCGCTATAAGAGCGAGATAAAGGAGGAGAACCAGGACCCGGATTTCATAGACCAGGACAGTTACCAGAGTGGGATAAAGGAGGAGGACCAGGACCCGGGCCACTGGAGCAACCATCCCGCTGGTCCCAGCGATCAACAGGTCAGTTAATGTTCACGACTTAAGGCTAGTGGATAACGTTACTGTTTTTCACATTCACAGTTGTGAATATGAGACATACTGGTTTTTCTTTTCTGTCTTGATCTAGCTGTCTTTACTAGAGAGATTAATCAAATCCAATAGGGCGTTTTTGATAATAGTTAGTGTCCAAGATGCATATTAGACAAATTTCCTTTATTATTAATTAAAGCTAAATTAAAATGAATTGGTCCAAATATGATGGCCGAGCATTTTGTGGACAGCACTAGTTTTAACTAAATATCTACATCTTGTAATGAATGTCACTTCAGTTCTACTTTGAGTGTGAATTATCATATGCAGTAAAAGACAATAATGTAATAATGATAATGTACTACAAATTCAACTGACTGGCTTCTCTGCTGTATGATTTCACACGAGTCTCTTGAGACCTTACACCTGTGCATGAACTATGCATGAGCTTCCAACTTCTGATTGAAGCTGTGTGTGACCTTCTATGACTTTCACCCTCACCACACCGGACACATACACTAAAGCTGTGCTGCACAGACATTGTCACACAGATCATTCAGATAAACCTGTGGAGGAACAAGAGCACTACTAAAGCCTACTCTACATTTCTTTCAAACACAATACCATGACCACTGCTTCAAATTCAACATTAGAGCAGAATTTAAGACGGAACCAAACTCGAACTGCTGATGTGACAGCACTGCCCATTGTGCCTCAACCATACTCCTTTTGCCACTTTTATCTGCTGCTGTAGTGTAGGAAAGTGCAGCACTTCATTCAAAAATTAACGTTATGTTGCATCGGAATGCAATCTAATAACCAAATAAGTTCACTACAAAACATATCAGCATTTGCAGTCATCCTCTGCAGTAAACTATAACAAATACTTCTCTGTGTAGCAGATATATACAACACTAAGGCAGCTTGCACACACGGTGCTTATGGGTGTTAACAAGGCAGCGTGGCAATCACCTGACATCGTGGAGGATACACTAGGATCAGGAATGGTTCCACTTCGGTCCAATCAGAAATTTAAGATGCAGCCATTGCTTATTTTAAGGCAGTTTTTCTAAAATGAGAAATTTTTTTTAACAATCATACAATATTTCCTTGTTTGCAGCATCACAATATTTCACAATATATTGAATCTGAAAAACCTTAGAAAAATCAACTGGACTAGATTTCTAGATCAAAGACGTTTCACCTCTCATCCAAGAGTTTTTTCAGTTTACTTTGACCTGGATGACTGAGAATCTGCACAGACAATATATTGAATCGTAACCCCTGTATTGTGATATGTATCGTATTGCCAGATTATTGCCAATACACAGCACTAGACTTCAACATTGTAGGTTATAAATGTTGTGTATTCATTTTATGGCATCTCACCCTCTGTGCGTCTTTTTTCTGTCTGGGTATGTCTGCTTGTTGCTATGTAAACAGAGAGGAGGAGGTGAACTGAAACATCACTGCTGTCAGGACTGTGACAAGACCTTCAGGACATCCAGTGATTTAAAGATGCATCAGAGAGTTCACGGTGAAGACTACCCATTCAACTGTGACCAGTGTGGAGAAGCATTCAGAGTCTTAAGTAACCTTAACCAACATCGACGTCTTCACACTGGAGGGAAATCATACTGGTGTGATCAGTGTGGAAAATCTTTTGCACATCCCAGTTACCTAAACAAGCACCAGCGTGTTCACACTAAGGAGAAGCCACATACCTGTGACCAGTGTGGCAAAGCGTTTACACTGATGTGTCACCTTAAAGCTCATCAACTCACTCACACTGGAGAAAAACCATACATCTGTGACCAGTGTGGCAAAGCATTTACACTGATGTGCCACCTTAAAGCTCATCAACTCACGCATACTGGAGAAAAACCATATAGCTGTGACCAGTGTGGCAAACCTTTTGCACGTATTGCTAACCTTAAAGCTCATCAACTCACTCATACTGGAGAAAAACCATATCACTGTGACCAATGTGGCAAAGCCTTTACACAGCTGGGTAACCTTAAAGCTCATCAGCTCACTCATAGTGGAGAAAAGCCATATAACTGTGATCTGTGTGGCAAAGCTTTTAAACAGATGTGTCACCTTAAGGCTCATCAACTCACTCATACCGGAGAAAAACCATACAGCTGTGACCAGTGTGGCAAAGCTTTTACACTGATGTGTCAACTTAAGGTTCATCAACGCACCCACACCGGAGAGAAATCTTACTGCTGTGGTCAGTGCGGTAAAGCTTTCTCTCATCACAGTAACCTAAACAGGCACCAGCGTGTTCACGCTAAGGAGAAGGGAAAGCTCTGTCTGTAACCATCTTGGCAAGTCAGAATCGAGATGTTAGAAACATAAACATAACAAAGAACACCCCCCATGTCTTTGGGGGTGTTCTTTGTACATGGACTACCACGTTGGCTGGATAACCGTGTTGACAGTTTCACATTATGTCGGATGTGCTGGTTATCTGAAAGTCTGACAGGAATTGTTGTCAGTGCAACGTCTGTAATCTCAGACCTACTCAGGAGCTGGTTTGTTCTCAGGCTTATTCAATGTAAACAGATCATTTCCAGATTTAAAGAGTCTCGGAGCAGGAAGTGACTCGCTGAGCCCTTGGGCCCGTCCCAAACCGCTCAGAATCAAAAGGTACTATTTCAGTTGGGAGGAAAGGATTTACTGAGGTGGATTATTAGCATCTCACACTAAGGGCAGACAAAGAGGTGCTGTGCTCTTACCACCATACAGTCTGCACTGCACTGAGATTTCTTGCAAGAGGCAGAGTGTGTTTTTGAGCTATTTGAAAAGTGTACCGGGCTCTGAAACTATTTCTGTATTTTCATAGTCTACCTTCTTCCTATGTGCCTTAAAAACAAAGGGAATTAAAAGACCTAAATATTATTATTACAGCATTTTTAAATAGCTGTGGCCCAGTTACCAATTTAGCAGAATTTACAGTATGACTACAGTCGCTTCAGAAAAGATTCCCACTCACCCATTTTACTGCCATAAATTCATACTGAAACTGAAAACAACGCACAATATGTAAGGAGTGAAGGTGTGGGAATCCTGACACAAGTGTATCTGTATCTGTAGAATTCATTCATGACTACATGTACTAATGTCCTGATGATGTAAACAGTGAGACAGTTGCACTAAGAAGCTGATCTGTTTTGATGAGGACACAAATAATAAATGTTCAAATTATAGACAGCTGTTATACCCCAGTTCTTTTACTGGACAGATCTGAGTAAAAAAGGAGTCAGTCTTTCTTGATTTTAGTGGTGGTTGATTTACACACACACACACACACACATATATATACATACACAGTTTTGGGCTAACCCCTTACACAGATGAAGTCCATCCAACAGACTCCATCTCTTATCTAGAGCTCCACATGCTTGGAGCAGCTGTGTATTACCTAGTCATAACAAAATGAAGACTCTCAATGTGTGTGTATGTTGTATGCGTGATGTGTAACTAAAACATTCATTCAGACATAAATCTAACACAAGATTAATACAAGAAAACAATTGGTGTCATGTCTTACTGCTAACCTTGAAACAGAGCAGACTTTGAATCTTACTAATCTGTATTACTAACACACATTAAAGTCTAGTAATTATCTGACTAATGTATTAATTTCTAACACAAATAAAACAATATCTCTATCTCACAGCCGCCCCAGTGAAGCTGCCCAGTGTCGGCCTGTGTCACAGTGGTTGTAGTGGGAAGCTGAGCTCCCAGCTGTGAATGTGTGACTACGTTAACGTGAGGTAGAAAATGTGGGACTGTGGTCAGAAACCAACAGGTAGCTACATGTTTAAAATGATACATCTTATGAACTAAAACTCTTCCAGTGGTTCAGAATTCTGCAGCTAGAATCTAAATTTAACTAAAGGTCGTGTGGCCCAGGTCTGATGGAGGCTCCTGGAAGTTGGCTCGTCCTCCAGGACGTTCTGACTGTCCATGCAGTAGCTCTGTTGTCTTGATTTATTCTGTACACACATCTATTTCCCGTCTGTCTGTTCTAGAAGAAGCTGCTCTTCAGTTTGTAAACCCCCCTAAGGCAAGTTTGTGATATTGTGCTCTGGTACAGTGGACTGGACGTACATAACACTTTCCTGGCTTACAGATTCCCTCATCCAATACACTCAGTAAGTTCAGTTTGCATTGCAGGTGTCATGGCAGCATCACTTGCATCGTAGTAGAACAGCAACACAGGTAGAATGGCAGCCACCCAGCTGGTATGGCAGCTTGCAGAGCATCTCTCTCTGTGGTATCTGGTATGACCACATGCAGCCTGCCATGCAGCTTGTATAACTGCAAGAATTACAGCTTGACTGAGGCTATTACGACCTGCAATTTTCATGGCAGGTCTTTGCAATTTAGCTGCTGAAATGACAGTCCGCCATGCAGCTAGCATTTTAGTGTGCATCAAGTCACAGCCATCAAAAGCAATTTGGGGTTCACCATCTTGCCCAATGACACTTCGCCATGTGGACTGGGGAGACTGGGAATCGAACTGTGAAACCTGTAGCACAGCCGCCCCAGTCATATTGTCCGAGTGAGTGATTCCTATATCTGGTGTTGAACTCTGACCCTTCAATTCCAAAGGAAGGGTTCTATTGTTGAATGTGAGAGGAGGCTCCATAGACTGGAGACGGCTCTCAGACGCCGAGCTGGGTGTAGGGGAGGCTGATCTTTCTCTGCAAGAAACATGACATATAATTTACAGGTTTCTGTGCATAAACTAATATTAGATCATAAACAGCACAACAACTGAGACATCCAAGTGGGATCATTCTTATAGGGAACTTTACCAGTTCTATTACAAAGCAATGAAGCACACAATAAAACTGGATTTACACAGTAAATCTGGGTCAGCAAAACTGGGTTAATATCACTAAAAGGTTTCCATGTGTATACTGTACATGTATGTCCAAAGTTTTAGCTAAAGGCACCTCCACCAGATCTGGATCGTACTCTGGTTACAGCCTGAAAACCAGCACCTGATGATCGAGAGCCCTGACTCGACTGTAGTCCACCTTTCTGTTTGGATAACGAAATAAACACACTCTTATCTACTGTCCCTTTCAGTCCACCTGTGTACAGTACAGGCTCGTCCTTACCAGCTGAAGCTCATTCACATTAATACAGCTGTGGCTGTGCTCATCTACATCACTGGTTTTGGGAAATATGCCACTAAATAGGACATTTGTGGCGCCACAATATTTTCCACACCTGATGGTGACAGATTTAGTAAATATACCCCACAGTGTTTTGGAAATATCAAGGATGATTTGAGAAATGTACCAAAGTAACTGAGGAAAAACTTTATAACCTTTTATAATTTATATGGCTGAGACAATATATCAAATACAGGAAACATATCGGTAACTATATCTGGAAACTTCGATAAACAATTTGATCATCAACAAACAAAAGAGCATAAATAAAAAAAAATATGTTTGAAGCTGGACAAAGAAAAAACAGAAACACAGGATATAATTTACGCTCCATACAGTTGGAACTAAAATTTAAGCTGTGAGATATGTTACTACACCATAATAATGTATGTATTTATTATCTCTCTATAACTCACTTTACTCCTTTAAAATCAATGA